AATCATCCTCTGTGTGTGTATGTGGTAGGGTTCTCTAGTCCATACTGCTTGGTTAGATGGTCCGAGATGATTGCATTGTGTTTTAGTAGATTTAGAGGAAGTATTCCTTTTTTTTATATAACATGCGGTTTCTCCTGATATTATCTCACATACAGAAACTTCATCAAAGTTTTACTTTTTAGAATTTGAAGTTCAGATTTTGAGGTGAGGATGTGAAACTGGAAAAACGTTTCCTGTTTCTGCTGCTGGTTGCTGAGCCAGTGCTACACCCTGCGAGTTGTTACATGACCCCGTGTGCGGGCTCCTTCATTTTTGGAAGCCGGGTTAAAGGGGAAACGGCGTGTATTTTGATATTCTATATATAGAGTACTGTGCAAGAGTGTGGAGTGAGGATGCTTTAAAAAACAAAAACAGCATCATGAATAGATTTCATGTAATAATTGACAATATATAAAGTGCTTAAATAGAAAAAACAAAACTTAAGTCAAATAAATATTTGGGGTATCCACCATTTGTCTTAAAAACAGGATTCCCAGAACACAATGGGCTAGTATCTCCTGCAGGGATCAGGGCTCTGTGAGGGCCATACCATCTCTTCTAGAGATCAGGGTTCTGTGAGGGCCATACCATCTCTTCCAGAGATCAGGGTTCTGTGAGGGCCATACCATCTCTTCCAGAGATCAGGACTCTGTGGGGTCATGCTATCTCTTCCAGAGATCAGGGCTCTGTGGGGTCATGCTACCTCTTCCAGAGATCAGGGATCATACCATCTCTTCCAGAGATCAGGGATCATACCATCTCTTCCAGAGATCAGGGATCATACCATCTCTTCCAGAGATCAGGGATCATACCATCTCTTCCAGAGATCAGGGATCATACCATCTCTTCCAGAGATCAGGGATCATAACATCTCTTCCAGAGATCAGGGTTCTGTGAGGGCCATACCATCTCTTCCAGAGATCAGGGTTCTGTGAGGGCCATACCATCTCTTCCAGAGATCAGGACTCTGTGGGGTCATGCTATCTCTTCCAGAGATCAGGGCTCTGTGGGGTCATGCTACCTCTTCCAGAGATCAGGGATCATACCATCTCTTCCAGAGATCAGGGGTCATACCATCTCTTCCAGAGATCAGGGGTCATACCATCTCTTCCAGAGATCAGGGGTCATACCATCTCTTCCAGAGATCAGGGGTCATACCATCTCTTCCAGAGATCAGGGGTCATACCATCTCTTCCAGAGATCAGGGGTCATACCATCTCTTCCAGAGATCAGGGGTCATACCATCTCTTCCAGAGATCAGGGGGTCATACCATCTCTTCCAGAGATCAGGGGTCATACCATCTCTTCCAGAGATCAGGGGTCATACCATCTCTTCCAGAGATCAGGGGTCATACCATCTCTTCCAGAGATCAGGGGTCATACCATCTTTCCAGAGATCAGGGGTCATACCATCTCTTCCAGAGATCAGGGGTCATACCATCTCTTCCAGAGATCAGGGGCTACCATCTCTTCCAGAGATCAGGGGTCATACCATCTCTTCCAGAGATCAGGGATCATACCATCTCTTCCAGAGATCAGGGGTCATACCATCTCTTCCAGAGATCAGGGGTCATACCATCTCTTCCAGAGATCAGGGGTCATACCATCTCTTCCAGAGATCAGGGGTCATACCATCTCTTCCAGAGATCAGGGGTCATACCATCTCTTCCAGAGATCAGGGGTCATACCATCTCTTCCAGAGATCAGGGGTCATACCATCTCTTCCAGAGATCAGGGGTCATACCATCTCTTCCAGAGATCAGGGGTCATACCATCTCTTCCAGAGATCAGGGGGTCATACCATCTCTTCCAGAGACCAGGGGTCATACCATCTCTTCCAGAGACCAGGGGTCATACCATCTCTTCCAGAGACCAGGGGTCATACCATCTCTTCCAGAGACCAGGGGTCATACCATCTCTTCCAGAGACCAGGGGTCATACCATCTCTTCCAGAGACCAGGGGTCATACCATCTCTTCCAGAGACCAGGGGTCATACCATCTCTTCCAGAGACCAGGGGTCATACCATCTCTTCCAGAGACCAGGGGTCATACCATCTCTTCCAGAGACCAGGGGTCATACCATCTCTTCCAGAGACCAGGGGTCATACCATCTCTTCCAGAGACCAGGGGTCATACCATCTCTTCCAGAGACCAGGGGTCATACCATCTCTTCCAGAGACCAGGGGTCATACCATCTCTTCCAGAGACCAGGGGTCATACCATCTCTTCCAGAGACCAGGGGTCATACCATCTCTTCCAGAGACCAGGGGTCATACCATCTCTTCCAGAGACCAGGGTCATACCATCTCTTCCAGAGACCAGGGGTCATACCATCTCTTCCAGAGACCAGGGGTCATACCATCTCTTCCAGAGACCAGGGGTCATACCATCTCTTCCAGAGACCAGGGGTCATACCATCTCTTCCAGAGACCAGGGGTCATACCATCTCTTCCAGAGACCAGGGGTCATACCATCTCTTCCAGAGACCAGGGGTCATACCATCCCTTCCAGAGACCAGGGGTCATACCATCCCTTCCAGAGATCAGGGGTCATACCATCCCTTCCAGAGATCAGGGCTATGTGGGGTCATACCATCCCTTCCAGAGATCAGTGCTCTGTTGGGCCATACCATTCCTTCCAGAGATCATGGTCCTGTGGTGCCATTCCTTCTCCTTCAGAAATCAAGGCTCTATGGGGGCCATACCATCTCTTCTAAATATCAGGGCTCTGTGGGGTCATACAAACTTTTCCAGAGATCAGGGCTCTGCAGGGTGTTCCCACATTGCTCCTTCCTCTCTCACAGTCCGCCGGTGTTGGAGCTTACAGGGTGATGTCACCCCCACAGTCATGTGATGGGGGTTCCTCTCAAAGTTGCAGACATATCTGCTGCCTCTGCGATGATTTCCATCTCCGATAACCCACCCCACGATGGCCTTTTGGAGGTGCTGTGATAGTAAATGGTGGCAGTTGGTTGGGATATGGTTGCTCATTTGTTGGTATTTTCACAAGCAGTCTATAGGACGATTATATCATCTCAGAGAACGCACAGAGGAAGGGGTGCTATAATCACATGTTCAGATCTTTTCTCAGAGTGACATTAGACATCAATCTGTCATTTGTTTACAAGTAAACCCGGACAAGAAGTAAAACCAGTTAGTGACTTCCAGAAAGCATTGCAGGCATTGCCTAAGTCCCCTCTGTTTCCTCGTGCCTGACGAAAATCTGACCTCCGGTCTTCCCTTCAGTCTTGCCATGGCATTGGGTCACATGACCGCCGCTGGAAGGCTGAGGAGGAAGAGATACAATAACAATGTAACAGTCCTAGAGAAGGCTGGATAGCGTTTGATCCAGTGTTGACCATGCATGACAATAGGAGGTGACCTCTCTGCTGAGGATTTGGTATGGTCCTTCTTCTTTTAGTAGAACGTGGCGCTGGTGAGGTGCGCCCTTCAAATTAAAGAAGAATGTAGAATCTTCTCGCCTTTTTTATTCTACCTAAGAGTGTAAATTAGTAATCTTATCAGTGTGTTAATAATGCTTAGTATTCTGTATACATTGTATTATGTTTGTTCTGTAAATTGGCCTCCGCCGTGTGTAGGAATTTCCCGGTATTTTGGGAGAACCTATGCCCCTCCCTGTCCTTTGCAACATTGAGATACCAGCTACTTCCTTGTTATGTCTGCCCTCAGGCCATGGTGGCTGTAGATCTGGTTCCTCTGCTCAGAAATGCCTCTGCTGACTCATTTCCATCTACTTGTACCATTCTGACCACCAAAAAAAAAATGTATTAAGTTTAAGAAGTTACTTCCTTGCAAATGTATGTATGACAATAAAATGTATGCTTCCACCCCTTCATAGATCAAAACTGTTCCGAAGCAAAATCGAATGTCCTCATCAGTTTCATCTAGTGACCATAATGTGATATTTTTTCTGCATTCACACATTCGGATTGTAGAAAATCTAGTCGTATGGTTAGAACATTCGATTTTGCCCACTTTGCACAAAACACATTCTGGAGTCCCCCCAGTTCTGTCCACTTTTTCCTCTGAGTGCTCTTTCAGGAAGCCGGTTGCTGAGGGGGCACCCATACAGGCGTGCTCCTGAGCCAGGCTGCGTGCATCCTTAGATGCCTCTGAGGAGCGTGGAGCAAATCTCTGAGGAACATCCACTCAGGATTGCTGTGCATCCTTAGATGCACAGCAATCCTGAGTGGATGTTCCTCAGAGATTTGCTCCACGCTCCTCCAAAGGTTTTTCTTTGGAATTGGCTCCATAACATTATCAGATCTCCCAACTTTCTGAGATGGGATGGACACAGCAATCTTGAGGAGATGTTCCTTAGAAATTTACTTCATGCTCCTCAGAGATTTTCCTCCAAGATTAGCTCCATGCTGGCTCACCAGACCTCCAAACTTTCTGAGATGAGCTTGACAAAACAATCTCTCAGGGATTTGCTCCATGCTCCTCAGTGATGTTTCTCAAGGATTTGCTCTATGATGTGTCCATGACATTACCAAACCTCCCAACTTTGAGATTGGCTGGACATAATCTATTGGAGAGGTTCCTGCGAGATTGTTCCATGCTTCTTCTCAATGATGTTCCTTAGTAATTTGTTCCCTGATGACTCCATGACTTTATGGAAATAGAATGCATTAAAAATACATTGGGGGCGGGGTAGGCTTCCCTGAAGAGATGGGTTTTCAGAGTGCGCCTAAAGGTGAGCAGAGTAGGCGATAGCCTGAAAGCTTGGGGTAGGGAGTTCCAGAGGATGGGTGAAGCCCTTGAGAAATCCTGGAGACGAGCATGAGAGGAGACAAGGGAGCTAGAGAGTAGGATGTTTTTGCGAGGACCGGAGAGTTCGGTTTGGGTCAGTGATGTAATTAGGGGCAGTGTTATGAACGGCTTTATACGTCCGTGTTAGTGTTTTGAATTTTATCTGTTGGGCAATTGGAAGCCAGTGGAGGGATTGGCAGAGAGGGGTGGAGGACACTGGAGGCCAGTGGAGGGATTGGCAGAGAGGGGTGGCGGACACTGAATGGAGGTCAGTGGAGGGATTGGCAGAGAGGGGTGGAGGACACTGAATGGAGGCCAGTGGAGGGATTACCAGAGAGGGGTGGAGGACACTGAATGGAGCCAGTGGAAGGATTGGCAGAGAGGGGTGGAGGACACTGAATGGAGGTCAGTGGAGGGATTACCAGAGAGGGGTGGAGGACACTGAATGGAGGCCAGTGGAGTGATTGCCAGAGAGAGGGGTGGAAGACACTGATGGAGGCCAGTGGAAGGATTGGCAGAGGGGTGGAGGACACTGAATGGAGGCCAGTGGAGGGATTGCCAGAGAGGGGGTGGAGGGCACTGAGTGGAGGCCAGTGGAGGGATTGGCAGAGAGGGGTGGCAGATACAGAGCGGTTAGTACGGTGAATGAGTCTGGCAGCAGCATTCATGATGGACTGTAGTGGGGATAGCCTGCGGTGAGGTAGGCCAGTGAGGAGGGAGTTACAGTAGTCGAGGCGTGATATAATGAGGGAGTGAATGAGTTGCTTAGTGGTTTCTGAGGTTAGGAACGGGCGTTTGTCAGTGATTGGATCTGGGGCTGAAAGGACAGATTGGAGTCTAGAATTACACCTAGTACCCTGGTGTGAGGGGTGGGGCTGATGGTAGTGTTGTTGATCTTGATGGAGAAGTCGGGGGAGGGGGCACGGGCTGGGGGGGAATACTAGAAGCTCAGTTTGGAAAGGTTGATTTTGAGGAAGTGGAGTGACATCCATGCCGATATGTCACTTAGTAGGCTGGTGATGCGATTGGAGACTGAGGGGGGGTGAGGTGAGGGGTGGAGAGATAGATTTGTGTGTCGTCGGCATAGAGATGGTAGTTGAAGCCATGGGAGTTTATCAATTGGCCAAGGGAGGAGGTGTAGATGGAGAAGAGAAGGGGTCCGAGGACAGAACCTTGAGGGACCCCGACAGAGGGAGTGGGGGGGGGGGGTGGTAGCGTTCTAGGTAACACTGAAGGAGCGCTACGATAGATAGGAGGAGAACCAGGAGAGCGGAGTCTCTGAGGCCAAGAGAGTGCAGTTTTTTGAGGAGGAGAGGGTGGTCAACCGTGTCAAAAGCCATAGAGAGGTCAAGTAGTAGGAGTATAGTATAGTGGCCATTGGTTTTGGCGGTTAGTAGGTCATTGGTGAGTTTGAGTAGGGCAGTTTCGGAGGAGTGTAGGGGGCGGAAGCCAGACTGTAAAGGGTCGAGAAGGTTGTTGTCGGTGAGATGGGAGCTCAGGCGTTTGTAGACTAACATTACAAGACCTCACAACTTTCTAAGATGTGCTGGACTGAACAATATTGAGGGATGTTACCTCAGGGATTTTCTCCATGCTCCTCTGAGATGTTCTTCAGGGATTGGCCTCATGCCGGTTTCATACCATAAACAGACCCCCAAACTTTTAAAGATAAGCTGGACACAACGATTATCCAGAGATGTTCTTTACATATTTTTCTCTGTGCTCTTTAGGGATGTTCTTCATGGATTTGATCAATGCTGGCTCCATACTATCACCAGACCTTCAAACTTTCAGAGATGAGCTGGACACAACAATCTCAGGGATGTTCCTATGGAATTGCTCCATGCTCTTCAGTGATGTTCCTCAAGGATTTGCTCTATGATGTTTTCATAACACCACCAAATTCCCAACTTTCTGAGATTGGATGGACATAATCTTTTGGAGAGGTTCCTCAGAGATTGTTCTATACTTCTCCTCAATTATGTTACTTAGTGATTTTTATTTTTTTTTTCCATGCTTACTCCATAACTTTCTGAGATGGGCATTGTGACTTACTAAGAGCTCAGAGAGAACGCACACGGGCAGATCACAGGAAACCCAAAATGCGGGTGTTTATTGGGGAAACTTGGGGTAAAGACAATAGAAAAACTAGTCCACAGAACAACACAAGAAACAGCAATGAAGAATGATCCTCAGGGTGGCATTATGGGGCAGTAGAGGGCAGGTGGTCCACAGGGCAGAGCAGCAAGGGCACAGCAGGGCTGTAAGTCTTCAACACAGGCAGGGAGCAGGGGTTTAATCCCTTTGGTAAAGGTTTTGGGCAGAACAGGGTTAAGTTAAGCACACAGGGAAAAGGTCCCAGGCAGTGCCAGGTTACTCCAGCACACAGAGACAAGTCCACCTCAGAGCAGATATCTGGGGATGAGAGGGTTAAATCCAGCACACAGGGCATGGCTAGGGGTATGGTCTCCAGGATGGGGTTGTGGGGTCTGGCCACAGCTCAGAAATATCCCAGTACAGGGAGGAGGACAGGAGGCACAGAGTCCACACACGTAGCAAGCAGGGTTGGCAGAGGTCTGGCAGGGAAAGGAGTAATCCACACAAGAAACTGGGCACACAGCAGGGATGGACAGGGATCCAGCACAACATGGGCAAAGTCCTTGGCACAGGGTGGCACTCTAGTACAGCAGGGCTTAGTCCAGAGTCAAAAGCAAAAATCTGGGCCCAGTGAGTAGCAGGCCGCAAACTGGTACAGCAAAGTCCAGGAGCACAGGGCAGCACTTCAGGGACTCACCAGCCATCAGTGGCCTCAGCAGAGTAAGTGTAGCAGGGTGGCATGGAGAAGGAGGTCCAGACGGCAGAGGTCCTTCACCATCTCATCACGGATGAGTTTTCATCCTTGGTGTTTTGGTATCCTCCCATAGCCTCATTTCTCTGCTCTTAGTGGACAGAAGGGACCCGGGTGGTCTTCTGATACCGTGGCCCACCCTCTTCAAGGTTCCCCATGTTGGGTGGCAACCACCATGTCTGTCATTTCACAGATAAGTCTCTTACGTGATCTATCTTCCATGTGTAAATGTTTGCCGAGACTGAATCTCGATTACGTCTGCATGTTCTATGGATTGCAGTCACATTTATCGCAACTGCTGAGATCAGATATCAGCCACACAGGAAGTTCATTTTTTTTTTTGTGAGTTCGGTAGCCATCTAAAGATCCTGCAATGAGCCAGACTTTTTCCCAACACAGCGTTCAGGTGTGAGTGGGACCTCGCGGTTGGCTGGATATAGTATTGAATGTCTCTTTTTAAAGTGTTTTTTTTTTTTTTTACTTATTTTCAGACAATAAACTATTGGAAAAGTCAGTTTTTCTGAAGGATCTGACTGAAAAAATCCAAACTGAACCGCTCGCCTCCCCCGGGAACCACCATGCAGCTAGGTGAGTACAGAGAACTCTGATTCCTGGAAAATGGAACAAAATGTGGGCAGGAGCACCCTATGGTGGGCAAGATCTTGCAAAGGTGGGCAGAGACACCCCATGGTGGACAGGAACCTGCAATGATGTGTGAGGACACCCCATGGTGGGCAAGAACTTGCAAAGGTGAGCAGGGACACCCCATGGTGGACAGGAACCTGCAAAGATGGGTGGGGACACTCAGTGGTGGGCAAGAACTTGCAAAGGTGGGCAGAGACACTCCATGGTGGACAGGAACCTGCAAAGATGTGTGAGGACACCCCATGGTGGGAAGGAACTTGTAGAGGTAAGCAGGGACACTCCATGGTGGACAGGAACCTCCAAAGATGGGTGGGGACACTCTGTGGTGGGCAGGGACTTGCAAAGGTGGGCAGGGACATCCCATGGTGAGCAGGGACTTGCAAAGGTGGGCAGGGACACCCCATGGTGGGCAGGAACCTGCAAAGATGGGTGAGGACTCCCCATGGTGGGTAGAAACTTGTAGAGGTAAGCAGGGACACTCAATGGTGGGCAAGAACATGTAAAGGTGAGCAGAACACCCCATGCTGGACAGGAACCTGCAATAATGGGGAAGGACTCCCTATGGTGAGCAGGAAAATGCAGAGGTAAGTAGGAAGGACACAGCATGGTGGTCAGAAACCTGCATAGGTGAGCAGGGACACTCCATGGATATCCGGAACCTGCAAAGGTGGGCAAGAACACTTCATTATGTGCAGGGACACTCCATGGTGGTCAGGAATATGTAAGGACAAGAAAGGACACCCCATGGTGGGCAGGAACTTGCAAAGGTGGGTGGAGACAGCTCATGGTGGACCGGAATAAACAGAGGTTGATAGGGACACCCCATAGTGAGCTGGAATGAACAGAGGTGGAAGGAGACACTTTCTGGCAGGAAGTAACACTCTAGGGCAGGAACCTACCTGCAAAGGTGGGTGGGGATACACTATAGTAGACAGGAATTCACAGGTGGACTGGGACTCCTCATGGCTGCTAGGAGCAGGCAGAAGTTGGTGGCGATAACCTATGGTGGTTTGGAACACACAGATGGACGGGTACACTCTATGGTGGAGGGGTGTTCTCAAAAGGTAAAGAGGAGCATCCCAAAGATGGACCAAAGCAGAGCCGAGAATTTGGCTTTCTGTTGTCGCTGGCTGTTTAGGGCACTGGGGTAAAGCCATAGTTTGAGCTATTGAAAAATGTCCTGAACTTGTCCTGATTTCTGCATTACAGGTCTCCATCAGATGTGTCCTATAGTCCTGGATCAGGTGACCTTTCCGCACTACAGAAGGAAATTGATGAAATGAAGACCTCCAATGGTGAGGTATGCACTACAATTGGAGAGCATCCTCTAAACTGGAATAGGCATTTCATGATTGTTTATTAACAGGTGATTTTAAAACCAATTCAGGCATGGTGGGAACCCCTCATAATGGGCACCGCAGGTGTACAGACCCAGGAACTCAGTACAGAGATGGTGGGAACCCCTCATAATGGGCACAGCGGGCGTACAGACCCGGGAACTTGGCACAGGGATGGTGGGAACCCCTCATAATGGGCACAGCAGATGTACAGACCTGGAACTCATCACAGGGATGGTGGGAACCCCTAATTCTGTTTAGGGATTTGACTCCTGCTGTTTTTGCGTATGATTTTTTTTTTGGCAGTTGGCGTTTGAAGCCTGCGAGCAAAAGAAGCAAGTGCAGGAGAAAGATGATTTGCTGAAGAAGCAGAATGTCCGGTGAGTTCCAGGTGTTTTATGTGGTTATTTCCTTTTTAATGCTCCCAGGCTTTAAAAAAAAAAAATATATATATAAAGAGGAGCCGCCATTGTCTGCCGGCCCAAAGCCAGTTTGTGTTCTGCAAAAGCCCTTCAAGGCTGGGAAGATAAGATTACACAGAATGCAGGAGAAACTTTCTCCTTCTCCCAATAGACTGTGAATGTACTACTAAAGCACACCAGGTCTGTTGGTAAAGAGGCAGCCAGTGCTGGGGCATTCTAGTTAGAAAGACCAGCATCTTCACAAGGGGAGTTTCATGGGTGCCTCCAAGGTGTGGGTCATGGGTGCCTCCAAGATGAGGGTCATGGGTGGTGAGGGCCTCCAAGGTGAGGGTCATGGGTGCCTCCAAGGTGTGAGGGTCATGGGTGCCTCCATGGGTGTGAGGGTCATGGGTGCCTCCAAGGTGTGAGGGTCATGGGTGCCTCCAAGGTGTGAGGGTCATGGGTGCCTCCAAGGTGTGAGGGTCATGGGTGCCTGTGTGAGGGTCATGGGTGCCTCCCTCCAAGGTGTGAGGGTCATG